TGATTGTGGCCTGGTGGAACCTGATCAGAGGACATGCCTGGACTCCTGACCCATGTAAACTATGACATAATACACATGTGTTACTTTAAACCATTAAATTTGTGGTCATTTGTCATGCAACAGAAAATTACTACAGAGGCTGTACAGTGGGGGGAGTCAGGTTATAAGAAAGCCCATGAGGTCTTGCTCCCTCTCCTCAGGGAAACCCTTGGACTCCACGGTCAGATCTGTGTTTGCAGGCATCTTCTCGCTGGCCCAAATCCCTTCAGTTGGCCAGAGGAATAGCTCCAATCCCAGTTGGCCCCATTGCTGCCTGCCTGTGGAGAGGGCTTGGCATGCCAGGGCGCTTTCCTCTGGCGTCCCTGAAAGGGAGCCACTTGCACTTTGCCCTCATCACCAGCCTGCCTAAGAAGCGGCTCACTCACTCCCATTGGTCAAGGCTCCGATCATTTCCTCCCAGGAGACCCCAGAGCCAGATCTATGCTAGTGCTAAAGAGACTCACACCTGCTAATACAAGTAAATCAGCTAGACAGCAGCAACACATCACTAATTACAGAGGGAGAATCTTCTGGTCAGGAGGGGAGCACCAAGATGACCATTTAGAACAAAGGGACCTCCATGAAACAAGATCCAGGGGAATTAGGAAAAAACTCCTCGTTCATATTCACAGTGAGATTTGAGACGATACTGCATCTACTAAACCAGCCAACCAACCAATAAACCAGGTTTTCACCAAAATAAATGCTCTGAAAATAAACAGTTCTTGGACAAAAATTTAAAATCATAATTGCCAAAAAAAAAAAAAAAAATCTAAATACTTGACAGTGAATAATATGACAACCCCAAATCTGGATTACATTGATGGAGTATACACACAAGAAAGATTGTGAGAAAAGAAAAATACCTTGGAGAACAGATTTAGTAGTCTAATCTAAGAACAATCAGAGTTTTAAATGCAAAAACAGAAGCAGGACAAAAATCAATGAAATAATATAAAACAATTCTTCAGAGCTAGAGAAAGTACCTGCTGTATCTGCTAATTGAAAATGTTCATCAAATAATGACAGCATTATTCTTCAAAGCCCATTTCTAATAGCAAGAACCATGAAGGGTGTGAGGTTTTATTAGAGTTATAAGTTAACAAGGGAAAGAATGGTAACTATGAATTATAGATATTCAGAAAATCAGAATGTAATAATATACCAATCGTGTACTCTTTTTGGATAATTACTTATGAAGATACTTTAGTTAAATAAAATCTGAGAGTAAAGATTACAAGAAAGGAAAAGATATGATACATAAGAAAGGACACTAAGTAGTAAAAATCCAATAAAATTGAGAGTAAAATCTAAATAAATTCTGAGAAATGAAGTGTGATGCAATTAAAGTAATCTTAAAAAATAAGCCATATTATAAGAAAATAATGATTACAGTGTCTGGAAAATTGGACAGATTATTCAGTAAAGCCTGGGGAAAGGAAAGAAGAAGGGCGGGAAGAAAAAATAAAAACCTGCAAAGGGTTCCCACTGGGGTAGGAAGTCCAGGACATTGCTATAATTGCTGTTAGAATCTGAGAGAGAAATGTGGGCTCACATGTCTTTGGTAAAATATAATAGTGACCACCAGTAGAACTAAACTAATATGTAGAACTGCCTGGTCAATAAAGAAAAAAAATTTTAAAAACTGGTAAAACAAAGGATAAATCAAGAGAGGAGGATAAAATCTTAGAAGTTCTCATCTTTAGAAAAAAATTATAACTGTGTGGTGATGGATGTTAACTGGTCTCTTCACAATACAAATATTAAATTACATTGTATACCTAAAATTAATACAATCTTATATGTCAACATTGTTGTTTAGTTGCTCAGTTGTGTCTGACTGTTTGTGATCCCATGGACTGTAGCCCGCAAGACTCCTCTCTTCATGGAATTCTCCAGACAAGAATACTGGAGCGGGTAGCCATGCCCTCCTTCAGGGCATCTTCCTGACCAGGGATTGAACCCACGTCTCCTACAAGTCTCCTGAATTGCAGGCAGATCATTTACTGCTGAGCCACTGGGGAAGCCCATATGTCAATATATCTCAATTTAAAAAAAAGAAAGAGAGGGAAGAAAAAATCATTGGGGAGGGGGCCTTTTTGCAGATTCCCTCATGGGGTCTGCCTTCTACCACGCACTTCCTGGCCTCTCCTCCAGGAGAGTTGTCTGCACCAAAGGACCAAGTGCTGGGTGTTAAGAGAGATGAACTAATGGCTGACATCACTTCATCCACCTTTTCTTTTCTCCTGGGTCCGAGGAGGCCCTGCAGACTCTCTCTCTTATGCAAGCTCATCATTGCTGAGGTCTGGGAAAGTGGAAATCCCACCATTCAGACTTGGGCAATGGGGAGTGAAGGCATCTCCCATAGGTCATGTCTAAGCCACATCTGGGGAGAGGTTTTCCAGAACTCCACGTTTAGGTACCCATGTAACTATTAGTAAAGTGGGCACTGTTGTTGTTTGCCTGCTGTGGAAAACCAGGGGAACAGAAACTGATTGGCTGGATCAGCTGATATTCTTTGGAGGGGTCGTTGATCACAGTACCATGATGCTCAAACTGGTAAGACTTCCAACATATCTTAACAAGAATGGCTTGGGCTGAAAATACAGCAGCAATAGAAAATAGACCCTCATACAATTCAGTAGGTGGTGAGAAATGGAATACTTCCTGCCGTAGGAGCAAACAGGGGATGCCACAGTCATCGGCAATTGCAGCTACCGTGTTTCGTGAGCCAGTGAGCCCCAAGGGCGCCTTCAGTCTAGCAGCCATCAGACTGCAGCCACTCCCTATGTGAGCCCTGAGGAAGCTCAAGGTTGTGACAGCATGGGATGCTGGCCCCAGAGAGCTGAGGTGTATATAAAGGAGTGAGTTATTTCAGTGAGCCCCAACTCTCGCATCTTTCATAACTTGGGATATGTGGTTTTAATTAACAATAATCTTTTGATATTCCAATTAGCTGCCCTTTGTTGCAAAACTTACTTCTGTATAACCTGGCTCCTCCCCTCGCCTCCTCGGAGCAGTTCTCTCAGGGTTAGTTGAGATGCTGGCTCCCAGGGTTAAAGTCCTAAAAATTCCCACTGAATAAAACATACCTCTTAACTTTTCATTTGGTGAATATTTTGTAAGTCCACAGTGGGTATGTGAGTGCCTTTGAGGAAAGGGAGAGAAATGAAACTATAGCATTTTTAAAGTCTCCTGACTTTGACACAGAAATTCCTCTTATTATAATTTACCATTAGGGGAAATACTTGATCATGGATATGGAAGAATTTAAAGATGTTCACTGCAACATTGTATAATCTGAAAACATCACTGAGGGGAACCCTAAGGCTTCATCAGAGAGGGAAGAACTGATAAACAGTTCTATCAGTCAATGGCTGCAGCCAGTACTAATAATGGGGTTGATTTATACATATTAATCTGTAAAGTTATATAAAATTAATCAAGTGAAGAAAGTCCCTTGCAGAGCATTATCTGTATTATGATCCCATCTGTGTGTGTGCATGTGTATGTGCACATGTTTATCCTTAGAAAGAGGTCAGGGCGGATAGTTTTGATCTCTCTGGTCTCTGGGGAGTACAAGACTGTAGGGGATATTCACATTTTTCTTTTTTGAATTTCCCTATGGCTTGATTTTTCCAGGATGAGAATGTTACCTTCTGTTAAAGAAATGACAATCAATTTAGTGGGAAAGTATTATTTTGGGGGATACATTTGGAAACCTGCAGAACTATTACTTTACACAAGGAGACTCTCAGTGGGTGGTTATTTGATTTCCTCTGTCATGTTGCTTATTTAATCTCAGCAACGTTATAGAGTAATTTTCCTAGTTGACTTGCACAGAATACTCTGCCCTTTTGGGGGCCAGTTTTATGGAATCCAAGAACTAGCCTATAGGCTCATTCTGGTTATTTAGTAATGTTTAAATTCCCCAAGTTACAGGCATTATTTATTATTGTCTGATCATCAACATAACTATATAAAAAACTATATGTTGATGATCAGATGACAATAGGCTGTGACAGGAAAGTTTTAAAAAGTGAGACTCTATTGCTTCCAAGAGGTTCAGAAAGCATTATGGACATAATCTCAGAAAAATTTAATAGAGTACTAAAAAATAAGTAGAGATAGATGCTATGACCATTTTATGAGCAGAAAACTGAGGTAGTCTGAGTTATGCACTCACTGGCAAGATGGAAGCGCTAGGAATAGATGTAAAAGCTTTTGATTCTTTTCCAGACTTTCATCCAAAAGTCCCCAGCCTCCCTTTGATACCATTCTGGTCAAAATTCTTGGTGGTTCTATTTTTCAGTCTGCCAGTAACAATTAAGTCACAAACATCAAAGCAGTTACACGTCCATAATCATTTCTGGTCAGTAAGGATACCTCATGTGTAAACTGCATTATTTTTTAACCGGCAGCAATGCTTCAGTCACAGAGATTTCGTCTTGGATCATCCACTGGGCTATTTCTAATATTTTTTGTTTTGTTTAAATTTAAAAAAGTACACGTAGGGAGGTTAGAATTTATCATCTTTAAAAATCAAGGTTGAGAAAAGTCTGTCATTAGTTCTCCAGAATTTTTAATAGCTGTTTAATAACCTTTCCTGCAGTTAGATGCCCATTTGCAGCACTTCCCTTTTCTGGTCTGTCTTCTGAGTCATCAGCAGACCTGACACCGTTAGTAACGATGTATGCTGAAGGGCAGGTTTCCTCCTAACCACCCCCTCCCCCGGCCGGTCACTCCTACTTAAGGCAACTGACTCAGGCTTCTCTGGGTTTTTTCGCCTAGCAGTTTCTCTCTATATATGGTAATAATACTCCACAGATCTGCGCGTGCTTCCCGGAGGAAAACTGGAAGGAGAAGCCACGTGAGCGCAGCTGGAGCCTGCGGTTGGCCTGGCAGCTCCTCCGCAGTGGAAGGTGAGCTGCGACGAGAAAAGCACTTAACCTCTTCGTTACCTGCACTTAACCATTCCTCGCTACCACCGGGAGCCGCCTGCTTCCCGGGGCGCATCCGGGTCCGGGTCCGGGCCCGGGTCCCGGCGCCCCCGCTGCTGCTGCTGCTGCGGTTCTTGGAGTCCTTACCCTCCTGTTGCCGTGACCTCGTCGAACCGTGCAGGGCAGTTATCCTCGCTGGGTCACTTTTCAAAGCAATTGCATATTAGAGTTAGGTGTGAAGTCCACCGTCAGCTGCTTTCCGCTAAATTGATGAAGTGCAATTCTATCCTGGAGTAGGAAGGGAAGCTAAATGTCTCCCTTAAGCAACTTGGAGTTTCTCACCCCTGGGGCGTCGGGGCACTGCTGAGACGGTGGCACAGAGCCGTGGATGATTTTGCTTTGTGACTTCAGGGAACAATCTCATTGTTATTTATTGTGACCACCGCTTCCATCTGTAGATTCCCACTGTGACCTTCCTACCGAATTCCCCCAACCCTCCCATGCAGAGATCAACCAATCAATCAATAAGTACTATATTGTAATCAAGAGTCTCTCTTCATACTGTTATCAAGACCACGTTCATTATTTGTTTCCTCCACTGTGTCCTTCCTGGGCAAAACCAAAGTCAAACCAAAAACTTCAGGGGGAAGAAAAAGGCAACTGTGTACTCAGGTCTCAGTAGTCTGAAAATCCTTCTCTCACTTTTTGAGCGCAATGCAGATAGATGTTGCTATAAAAGTTTGTGTTTTCTTATAAGATGTTAAAGACAAACAGAAATGTGTAAGCCCACAGTGCTTAGTTTTCCCACCCTTTCATTTATTTGGAATGGGGTGGGGAGAAAGTAGTTTTTGTCTTCCACCTAGTGGACTAGTTTGGAATTGCGTCTTGCCACTAGGATCCGGTGGCTAAAATTCATACAAATAGTGTAGAGAATCAGATGAAGAATGATGAATTCTACACATAAGTCTACTTTCAAGCTTCCGAGTTCCACAGGTTAAAAAAATGAGTATTCTTGGTTGTAGGTTTTTTCCCTTTCATCACTTTACATTGCCATTCCCTTTTGGTCTGCAGTTTCTGCTGAAAAATCAACAGATAGCCTTATGGGACTTCCCTTGTATGTTATTTGTTGCTTTTCACTTGCTACTTTTTAGTATTTTTTTGCTTATATTTACTTTTCATCATCTTGATTACAATGTGTTTTGGCTGTATGCGGCTCTGTGCTTCCTGGACTTTAATAACTGTTTCTTTTCCCAGGTTAGGAAGCTTTGCAGCAATTATATCTTCATATTGTCTTGGGCCTGTTCTCCCTCTCATCTCCTTCTGGTGCCCCTATAATGTGAAAAAACAATAAAAAGGACACAGCAATAAACATTTGTTGCAAAACTGGACGGCAGGAGTTTATGTTAAACTGAGATGGAAAGAATCAAGAAAACCCCACTTACAGAACCATGTGATGAAAGCTGTGGGCAGTGAGAAAAACTTTTCCTTATCAATGAATCAATTGTATTTACGATACTCTGGAAATAATGGCTTGAAAGCACTGTCCGAGAAGGCAGAGCAAACAAAATGATCTCAGTCTTTATTGCCATTGTGGACCAGGGTATCCTGTACATCTAGCTAGTCATCCACACTTCAGTTTTTTCCTTTATTTCTTATCTCTCCATTTTCCGCTATTACCACTACTATGAATGGCTAATAGATAATTTTCCATATTCTTTTCCATCTTAGCTGCAACCAGCCTGCATATTACTTGCCAGACTAATCCTCCTTGAACTATTACTTGAAACTCTCCTGGAACTTTCTCTTTCTTCCTAAATGCCTCTTCCATCTGGTTTCACTGCTATTTTAATCCGGTCTCATCCTACCTACACTGTTTCATTCCCTACTCTTGAACTTTTTGCCAGTTGATTCACGCCTCCTTGAATAACACTGCTTGCTATTCCCTCCAAGCCTTGACGCAGCCCCTCTCACAAGGAGCACCTGTTTTTCCCTCCTTTTGTGCAGCCCGACTGTCTTCACCATTTAGGATCCACCTCAGCTGTGCCTCTCCATGGACACCCTCCTTGCTTGTGAAATCTTAGAGGAATTAGAGGTTGTATTCTGAAACTGAGTCCTTGTGCAAATACTGTCCAACGGTTTACTATTGTTTCCCAGGTTTGAGTCCCAGTTCCTCCAAAATCTGTTGTGAATACTCCAGATACTCTTGCTCATCCTCATTCCAGCCCCCACTCAGGATCTACACTTCTGGGAACACCAGGAGCTCTTAGAAACTTGTTGATGGTTTTCTTGAGCCTCAACACAATACTGCAAGGAAGATGCAGCTGGTAAAGTTATTCCCATTTCATGAATGAGGATGCTGAGGCCCAGAGCATTTGCAAGATTTGCTCTTGTCAGTGACAGAGCTAGGGCAGGAGCCCTGGGGTCTCCTCCGTGTCCAGGGCTCCCCTTGGCGCGCCTTGCTGCCCTCAGACCTGCTCTAATAGGTGAAGTCCCGCCTTAAACCCTTCTTTACTTTCAGATAGATACCTTCATTTTCTTACAGATAACGGACATGGGCTTATGTTGCAGGGAGTTGCCAGGCAAGAGGTCATAACCAGGGCGTGTAGTTATGCCTCCTGCTTGGCAATTTCAGTTCTTCCTGGGTGGTTATGCCACATTTTCAGCCCACACCCATTTGTCCTGTTTGCAAACCACAAACTGGTTCTCTGGCAGTTATATTTTTCAGCACCGCCTCTGGTTAAGTGACTGATCTGCTAGTTTGAACATTTAAATAACTGTGACCATCTCCTGCCCTATCCCACCTGATGAAAGTTATTCTGGGGCACCCAGGCTCACACCAAGCATTTAAGAACGGCTACTACCAGGCTGTCTTAACCAGAGTCGTTAGGGAGTTAGGAGGATTTCTAAGCAGTTCCAATTCTGGCCACAGGATGGATTAATTTTCCATCCTGTGTGCATCTCCAGTGCCTCACCCTATGGAATACCTCCACTGATTTGTTGGAGCTCGCAGTCCTGGGTCAGGTCCCGAGATGGTGGTTGGCTCAGCAGGAGGACTTGGTAGCAAAGGAAAAATATCATATCCACATGTAGAGATGGCGTTGCTGAAGTTTGTCCTATTAAATGTCTAGAAGATAAGTGCTAACAAGATTTTTAAGCAATTCTACTGACTCAGAATAATTTCATGGATTCATTGTACAAAAAGCGGTGGCAAGAAAATCTAAATATGCAATCATAACAAGTGACTTTTATAACTGCATGTCTAATGAAATGATCAGAACTTATCTAAAAGGGTCATGGAATGCAATATTATTACCTTTGTTTTATGATGATACTGTTAACATATAAAGAAGATTAGTTTCCAACTAAGCTGTAAAAAACTTTCGGGATACTTGTGGCAGGAAATTTTCAACTATGAATTTGATTCGAAAGTTTCAGTTATACAGATGAATAAGTCCTTAGATTTCTACTTAAAGCACAGAGCCTATAGTTGACAATACTGTACTGTATACTTGAGATTTTGCTAAGAGGGTAAAGCTTAGGTTACACACACAAAACAATAATAAATAATTAGGGCAGGAGGAAGCTTTCAGTGCTATTGGGGATGTTTCTGTTGTAGATAGTGGTGATAGTTTCATGGGTTAATATTAATCTCCAAACTCATCAAATTGGATACATATTAAACATGTACAGATTTTTGTATGTCAATCATACATCAATAAAGTGTTTTTCTAAAAGAATTATATTAGATTGGGAACTTGCCATACAATGTAGAGAGGCAGTGTACCTGTGAAGATCTCAGAACTATTACTACTGAAAACTGCCCATATAGCAATGATGTAACTTTTACAGAATGCAAAACATAGTTGCAAACTTCCTTTGCCTTCCTGGCAAACCAGCTATTCTGATCCCTATTTTGCAGGCTTAGAAAGTCAAATGGCTTCCAACTCTTACATGCCTTCTACTGTGGTGGGGGTGGGGGTGAGGGGCTTCAACCTGAAGCCCTGCCATGTGACTTCACATCCATTAACTATCCAGACATCAGTCAGTTAAGATACAATATAACATGATATAATATTGACTAATCATCCCTTAGAATATGTTTGCCCACACTATTATTTTTCCAGTCTTATGGAAATTTGGATGTTCCCTGAGCAAATTTCTAATGTGGCACCTTGGAGAAAAAAATGGCTTAAAAATATCTTGTACCTTAAATTTCATTGTGTGTGGGTCACCTAGATTGTATGACTCTTCCTATCACTTCACACAAAGCTTAATGAAGATGACAGAGGGCTGAGATCACATCCATGACGTCTGACCCTTTTATTGGCTTAAGAGCATCTGCAAGGCCACTAGCTAAGAGCTTTGGATCAGAACCCCTAAGGCCCAGAATATCTAGTCAGTCAACCTCGGATATAGTCTTCACAAAACAATAAACCCAAGATGAGAGGTTGGAAAATACACTGGAGACCATTACTTATCTTTGATTCTTCTCAGATTTATTCGACCCTCTATTCCTTAAGCCCTGGATGCAAACCACATCTTTTCCACTTAATGTGACAGATTTGAACTGATAGATGGTGTTAGCATCCCATGATATATTGGAACATCAGATTTCCTGCTGACAAAATCCTAGGGAGGTTTGTAGGACCAGGTCGACTCAGTAGAAAATTCTGTATTGACTTTCTATGTCCAAGATTCTAGTTTCTGATTTCTTGAGTGCCTAGGGAAGGTTATTGCTGTTGGAAATGAAAGCTTGATTGATTAGAACAGAGATGTGCCTTTTAAAAGATTGAATTGCCGGCCTTAAAGGATCAAATTCAACTCTCAAGAGGGAGGCTGCCCTTATAACTCTCTTTTTTTTTTCTCCCTAGGCAGTTGTGATTCTTCGTCCCCCCACCCACCTATACCTTGAAATAGCAAATTGTGGACTACCTTACTGTGTGAAGGGTCTTGGGTAAACTGGCTTTCAGACTGAGGTCTGGAGATCATAATCTGTTAGTAGAAAGCTGAAAAAACCCACACATTAGAGGCAAAGCAAGACATGTTTTCTCACCTCAAATGAAGTCTGCAAAAGGCTCTCTTAGTGGGAGTGGATATTCAGTGAGAAAAGTTGGAGACTGAAGAATCACTTAGCAATGGCTTTGCAGGTTGGGCAGCCACTTCTGACTGTGGCTTCCTTCTGGTTAGACTCGGTATCCTCGTGTCTTATTGGTGTGCTATACAGGGTGTGTTCTCTACCCTCTCATGAGGCAGGCACTGTGCCACTGGTCTGGATCACGGCTCCAAGGCAAAAATGAAACCTGATCTCTCAATGGGACAGAGGAGCAGGCTGGACACTCAAGGCACTCAGAGGCGTTGTAGGTAGGGAATCATTCTGACTCAAACCATCTCCCTTTCCCAAGCCTTTAGAAACTGACACTTGCACAACATGATCAACCTATCAGTAACACCATCTTTGCCTTTTGTAAATTATTTTATTTTTTGTGCATTTGTTAAAACCACATAATGTTCACTCATATACGGTTTAAGATATTTTCCTATGATTGGGAGTTCCCTGGTGGTCCAGTGGTTAGGGCTTTCAGTACCATGGCCCAGGCTTGATTCCTGGTCAGGGAACCAAAATCCTAAAAGCCACATGGTGAGGTTGGAAAAACAAACAAAATATAATTTTTTTCCTATGAAAAGAAAGATGTTCTGTTTTTTAATGAGAAAACATAAAATTCACCGTCCAAACCATTTAAAAGTAAACAATTCTGTAGTTTTCAGTAATTTACACTTTTGTACAACTATCCTGCTAACTCTAGACCATTTCCAGGAAACCCCGAAAGAAAACCCACATGTGCCAGCCCAACGTGCCCTCTACCTCCACCTACTTTTGGTAGATCAAGGTTGTAAATTACTTAATTTATATGGCTTTGGCTAGGTAGAACGTGCACACGTGCAGCAGTTGGGAAGTACTCAGAAGAGTACGTGGTGAATAGTCACTCTTCTTGCCTTCATCCTCTCCTGACCCAGTTTCCCTCTCTGGTGACATGTTTTTACCCATTTCTTTATCCTTCTAGAGATAGTTAATGCTTATACTCATATACACAAATACACAGCCTCCTATATGATATGAGCATATATTTCATGCATAACTCTATTTACATAACTGCTTTCATTTTTAGTCAATTTGATACCAGGAAGGTCCATGCAAGTCAATAGCCATACCCACAACTTCTCAAGAAATGCCTCCTAAGGTACTTTGATCTCATTAAGATTCAGATGACTGCACCTTCACTCTCTTTTCCCAGAGACATTTTGCCAATGGAAATAAATTACTAGGGCCA